CAACATGCTAGTAACTTGTTAATCATGCTAGCAACATGCTAGTAGCAAGCTAATCATGCTAGAAACATGCTAGCAACATGCTATTAACTTGCTAATCATGCTAGCGACATGCTAGTCACTTGCTAATCATGCTAGCGACATGCTAGTCACTTGCTAATCATGCTAGCGACATGCTAGTCACTTGCTAATCATGCTAGCGACATGCTAGTCACTTGCTAATCATGCTAGCGACATGCTAGTCACTTGCTAATCATGCTAGCGACATGCTAGTCACTTGCTAATCATGCTAGCGACATGCTAGTCACTTGCTAATCATGCTAGCGACATGCTAGTCACTTGCTAATCATGCTAGCGACATGCTAGTCACTTGCTAATCATGCTAGCGACATGCTAGTCACTTGCTAATCATGCTAGCGACATGCTAGTCACTTGCTAATAATGCTAGCAACATGCTAGTCACTTTTTAATCATGCTAGCAAAACATGCTAGTAGAATGCTAATCGTGCTAACGACATGCTAACAACATGCTAGTAACTTGCTAATCATGCTAGCAACATGCTAGTCACTTGCTAATCATGCTAGAAACATGCTAGCGACATGCTAGTAACTTGCTAATCATGCTAACGACATGCTAGCCACTTTCTAATGATGCTAGCAACATGCTAGTCACTTGCTAATCATGCTAGAAACATGCTAGCGACATGCTAGTAACTTGCTAATCATGCTAACGACATGCTAGCCACTTTCTAATGATGCTAGCAACATGCTAGTCACTTGCTAATCATGCTAGAAACATGCTAGCGACATGCTAGTAACTTGCTAATCATGCTAACGACATGCTAGTCACTTGTTAATAATGCTAACAACATGCTGGTCACATGCTAATCATGCTAGAAACGTGCTAGCAACATGCTAGTAACTTGCTAATGATGCTAGCAACATGCTAGTCACTTGCTAATCATGCTAGAAACATGCTAGCGACATGCTAGTAACTTGCTAATCATGCTAACGACATGCTATTCACTTGTTAATCATGCTAACAA